TGCCTGACCGGCCAGACAGACGGCTACGCGCGTGTGTTTATTTTTGGATCCAATGGGTCTAGCTCACTTTGCCTATAACCTCTTCCTTCTACAAACTTGGGATGCCCCTTAGGGCCCTTCCCAAGTTGCAAACTCAAACTTTATAAACCCACTAAAATTTGCCCACCAAACTAATGTGGGATAAGCCTTTAATTAGAACCTTTAAGGTATTTCCACAAAAACTTCATTTTCATGGAGCACACTTTAGTTTTAATTTTCCATTCATCCGATAATGATTTTGAGTAATCAAATATATTACGTGAATCACAACGTGATATAAAACGCGTTACCACTTAAACCCGTCAACTTTGATGCATGGGTTCCACCTAAAAGATAGACCAAGGTGAAGAAAAATCTCTGATTTTTCCAAAACCATTTCTAACAGACTCATCACTTTTACACAATAAAATAAAATAAAATAAAATAAAAATGGGAAGTATAATTGAACAAACAAACTAACTTATGAATTTTATCGTTCTCATTAATTAAAATGTTTTGGCACATTTCAATATACATATATCTATCTATCTATACTATTATAAAGAATGGCTTGAATTAATATTTATGTCTCATTTCTTGAGTTTTTTCAAAATACTTTCATTACAATTACATGTTTTTTTTTTTGTCAAATGTCTCACCCTTTGATTTTTTCAAATTCATTGTAATTTTTTTTTAATTTAAATTCAATTATATAATTTATAATATTTTTTTTTAAAAAATAAAATAATTATATATATACACATTACGAGTATCACAACTTCTAATATATATACACATTGGCAAAATTGTATATGACATATGACCATATGATGGCAATCATACATGTACACACACCAGGCGTGCCACGAGCACCGTACAACTCACTTCATGCACGCGTGTACATGTACGTGTGCGTCCTAGTACTATGCACTTGGTGTACATTGGATTAAAATCTCTCTATCTCTATTCTAAAAACAAATATAACTAGTTGTCCTCTTGCTAAGGAAATTTTTTGAAACTTTCAACGTGAGACTTCACTTCCCAACATAAAGTTGAGGTTTTCACTTTAATATTACAATCTACCAACATGTTTACATGTGCATGGGCCAATTTTATAGGTGAGTTCAATATTAAATTTTGTAATACATGGGTTGCACGACCTTAGGAAGTTTTGAACATGACTAAATATGCAATGATTAACTAGTAATTAATGTTTTGAATAAATGGATACTAAGAGGTTGTTTGGGGTGTTTTAAGACCTTGTTTGGGGTATTCTAAAAAAGTTAAAAATCAAAAATTCACTATCTTATTTAAGTCACATCATCTTATTTAAGTCACATCACATCTGTGTTACATCACTTCAAACCTAACTCATACCTAACCCATATTTCATAAAAAGTAAAAAAGTGCACTTATTTAGATCATCTCAAACCACTCCTAGATAAGTGTATTTTTTGACCTTTTGAACTAAAAAGTTGAGAAAAAAAATATGGTTATTTGGGATAACTTTTTGACTTTTTAAGAAAAAGTGTGTATTAAAAAATTGTATAAATAAGTGTGTATGAGAAGCTTGGGTAGAATAGGCAGTACGGTGGGTAGAGTAGTGTATTGGAGAAGCTTGCCTCCTTTTCGCGCATTAAATTGGACGGTACTGGTTGGCCCATGGAGGCCCACCACGGGTCCCATTTTACTAATTGGAACCGTTCAATGTGTAGGACTTGTTGAGTATTATATGCTTGTAAAAAATCACGTTAATCGGATATCGATAGCTATTTGATCGGATTAATTTTTTGTCAATCGTTAATTATAACGCCATCCATTTTTTATATAAAACTGATTTGATCATATAGTTAGCGATATCCGATCAACATGATTTTCTCCAATTATATATTATTCAACGAGTTTTACACATTGAATGGTTCAGTTTATTAAAACGGGACGTATGATGGGCCTCTACAAGCCGAACAACACCGTCTTGTTTGCTTTTCCGCATTCCCTTTACACAAACGGTGAGCAGTTAAAGTACAACTCACATGACATGTGAGTTGTAATTTTTTTTTGTAAAATTAATTTTTTTTATATATTTTTTTGATAAATAGTGATATTTTTTAACTTTTTTAATAATTTTTTGACTTTTTAATTTTTTTGAGATATGTCAAACCTGCCCTAAGTTTCATCTAAGATCAAAGGTCCATCTCTAGATTATATTATATAGAATAATTTCAATATTAGCAATCATTAACCTTAGACATACATTATACTATATATATTGGTTTTATTTATTTATTTATTTTTTAAGTCAGCACCCCCATATTCCCTCAATTTGTGTGCCAAACAAAATGCCTTATTTGCTTAAGCATATTGACTTCCTTATATGGACCTCAACATTGACAAGTTCATTTTATTTATGGGGCAATTTTGTTGTGCCACATGGAGGCATGATTAATTAGCAGTAAATGTGAGTTGGTTTCTCTCTTTAATTACCATTTTTATTTGCTCCCACGTCTCCTGTTCCACTCTATATTTTTTTTTTGTGCGTTCCTATTAGGGGTGTTCGCGAATCGGTTTTGTACGATTTACGGTTCGATTTTGACCCGCTCGCATTTATGCGGTTTGGAAAAAAGTCAACCCGCAACCGCCCGCAGTGCGGTTTGCGGTTTGTGCGGATAGGGTTTGCAAATGTGTGGGCGGTTGCGGGCGGTTTGCGGTTTACACTTTTTTCTTTAAAAATTAATTTTCGAGTTTTTTTTTCCCAACGAATTTAAACATCAGATTCATTTATGTATTTGTGATAACAATTTTTTGATGAGTTTACAAATAAAAATTGAATATCAATGCATTAAATGAAAGTATCCAAAACAAAGAGACCCTACATTAACATTTTTGCCATGAAAAAAATGTATATCAATGCATTAAAGGTTGTACTCAATTAGAATTGCCAGTTCAGTAATTGATAATCAAACTATAAGTTCTATCAACCATTAGAAGGAAAATTTTATTAGGAAAAAGTGGATGAATCACCAATCAAAATCATATAAAAAACCAAGTTTAGGACTTGATAATGCTACAGCATTAAGAAAGTTGAGAAATACTTAAAAATAAGGATCCTAGTGTCATAGAGAATATAATAGTGCTCTTGTAAAAGTTACAAAGTTGGTATATATAAAAAAATAATAATAATAATAATTAAAGTGCGGGCGGTTTTTGCGGGTTGCGGGTTTAAACCGCGACCCGCCCGCAACCCGCAAATTTGTCATATTTCAAACCGCATCCGCCCGCATTATGTTTGCGAAACCGCCCATTTATATGCGGGTTGGGCGGATTGGGCGGTTTGAGCGGTTCGGATAAACCGTTGCCCACCCCTTCCTATAAGGTATGGGGGGCGGCAACCGATTTTGGTTCCGCTGCCCGTATCCTGTTATATTTTCGAAATATATATATGTTATTAATTTTTTATTGAAACCCAAAATATTAAACTTAGCTTCATTTTCACTTATTTATTATAAATTTCACTACTCATAATGTACTATATTATCTATAATTTTTATTAGTATTTCTATTTTTAAAGTTATAAAGTTAATTTTCTTGCACCACCAACCTAACTTCACCTCCAATATAATATCGGGCGAAGATGAGGGACTACAAACTCGTCTCAAACCTCTCATGTGGTTATTGCTATATATAATAAGAATAAAGATTCGGACCCCTTTTGGGGTCACTCCCATGACCCCCTTTCCTTTTGATTGGTCTATTTTTTTTTTTTTCTCTTCCAATCCCCAAGCCCCACGTGTGGGGGTGGTGGGGATGAAAGTTTTAAGGGGGTCATTGTGTTTTTATCATAATAAAACATGTTAACAAAGTACATACTTCAATATTTTGATTTAAAACTGAAAGAAACATTAAACCACACATCCTAAAACGTTGTAAGTTTTACTACAATTTTAAATTTAGACCATTAAATTCTCACAATAATATTATTACAAAATGATCATAGCAGAGAATCTTAATATGATATATGTACCTATGCCAAAATCTAGTCATTATTATACGACTAGCAAACATTTTGTTAGTTCTTGATGATCTGTGTGGCATTCATAATTTCTTCTGCCTTCTGATAAAAAAATGGATCTCTTAGCTGGACAATTATTGGAAGCTGTCAAGATAAACCCTTTGACCCCCTCTCTCTCTCATTGGTTACCTTTTCTTTTTCTTTTTCTTTTTTTTCCTGCTCCCCCTATCACCACCCGCCACATGGCAAAGGGGGTGAGGGGGTGACCCCCAAAAGGGGGTCCCAAGCATTATTCTTGGACGCATGTGGGCATAGAATCAATCATTCCATATCACTCAAAGAACACGGATTTAATTCTATATTTCATTTGCAATTTAAATGCAATGATAACCGGTTAGCAATATTACTACTAATTCAGTTGTTGACATTTTTGTATGTGTTGTATTTTTTTTTTTTAAATAATTAAATATCCAATCTAATGTAGTTCTGACATGAAATTATTAATGCAGTTTTCATGTTATTTATAAATTATCTTAATTAAAAAAAAATTGACATTTCATCTTATTTGCTTTCAAACTCAAAAATTAATTTTGAGTTTTTTGTTTATTTTTTGTTTTTTAGTGTTTTTTTTTTTTTTTCATATTTTAGTCCGTTCATTTTATTTTTAAGATGCACCTAAAAATGATATTAATTTGAAAAGAAATTAAAAAAATTACTAAAGATTTTAAAAAAATATAGCACATTTCTTTTCTTCTTTTTTATGTCATTAGTGAACTTTTTCTGATTTTTCATAAATGTTTGCATTTTAGGTGCATTTAAAAGTAAACAAAAAAAATAAAACAAAATAAAAATTTGATTAAAAAAATGAAAAATAAAAACTCAAAAATAATTTTCAAAAACTAAACCAATCAAGTTTGTTTCTTAAATCCAAACATTAAATTCAAAAATGAGAAATGTAACCCCCCAAAAAATATTGGAAATGGGAAAGGTATATATATATAGTTTTTACTTACAACTTGAGAAGGTTTGAACTACAATTCCTTAATTGGATACAAACATTGAAACATCTCTATTTTCTTAATAATTTTTCTTGGGCCAAACAGGTCATTAAGATCAATAAAAATAAAAATAAGAAGATGAAATTCTGAATCTGCCCTTATAATATGCAGCCAGAAATAAACAAAAGAAAAATAAAACTGTAAATTTATACACAAAAAAAACCAATAACCCCCCGCACATCTTCTTCTTCTTGTCAAAAAAAAAAAATTCCTGAAACCACCCATTTCTTGTGATCCCCGGAAACTCAAATTCCAACGCACGAAGGGCCAAAAAAAAGAAAAGAAAAGAAAAGAAAAGAAAAGTATTAATTATTATTAGTCTTCGGAAATGCTCTCAAGGTGAGGCCTCCATACACAGACACGGCCGCTCCGGCGATCCCTGCGTGACGACTTCTTCTCCGACATGATTTCCGACAGGTACCGATCTTGGCATGGGATATGATCGGTGTCGGAATTCTTGATTTTCTTGGAAGATGATTTTTTAGGGTGGTTGTTGTGAGTTTTCTTCTTTTTCTTGTCTGGCATTGATGAAGAAGGTATTAAGAAGTAGATGTTGCCTCTCTTAAGCTCGGAGTCCGGTGAGAGGATCAGAATGTGGCGAACAACTCCCTGAGAGGAGGGTTTGCTCAGGATGTGATTTGGATTGTTTTTTAGGACCTCTCCGGCAGTGATTGGCCGGGTTATTTCTTCTACGTAGCCGTTTAAGTGGACTATACGGATTAAATCTAGGGCTCCACAGGGAAGAATGCAAGCCAAACAACACCTTAGACTGTTCCCCATCTCTTCTTCCCTTTCTTTGTCTCTCTCTCTTTTCTTTTCTTTTCTTATCTTTTCTCTCTCCTTCTCTTTGTTTCTTCTGCTGTTGGGATAAGAATGTATGAATGGGAAGGAAGAACGATGTTATATAGAGACAACCGTACTCATACGAAATGTATTGTACTGGTGTTTTGCTTTTGGAGTCAAAATGACTAAAGTGCCCAACTATTAGGGCTGAGCAAGAAATTCGTGAAATTCATAATTCGATCCAATTTAGTCCAATTCAGTAGGTTTGGATTAATTTTTTGAATCCGTGGTTCGATTCCGGATTGAAAAATTAAAAATCTGTAGTTCACGGATTGGTTCCGGATTGAATCTCACGGTTCCGGATTGGAACCGATCCGGACCGTATACGAATAGTCTATATTTTTATTATACACTCTCCTGCATAGTATCTTCTCTTATTTCATATAAAACTTAAATCCAAACCTAAACTTGCATAGTATTTTCTTTTATTACTTTTGTTTGCTAATTTTTAGTGTTAATTTGTAATGGTCTAAATACTTATAGTGGAACTAGTTTCTTTATGGTTGTTTAAATTCTAGAACAGTTTGTCACTATTATGAAAAGACATATTGCTATTGTGAAACTAATATGGTGCTATATTTATATTTTTATAAAAATAAAGTGTTATATATATATTTTTGTTATTTAATTATATAAATCCGTGGTCCTAAACCGATCCAATCCGTATTTAAATGGATTGGTTCGGATTGGTTCCACGATTTAAACGGATTGGATTGGTTCTAATTTTTCAGGATCCGTAGGATTGATTCTGATTTTACTCTAATCCGATCCAATCCGGACCATGCTCATCCCTACCTACTATAGTAGTTTTCCATTTTTGAGTTTGATGTTTCATTCAAGCCCTTCCTTATTAGGATATTTAACTTAAGCCGCCCTCTATACACTACAAGAAAAAGCAGTTTAAAACCCAGTTCCTGGATCCGCGATACCCAGCTGAAAAATGGAAGACGTGGGTGGATCGCTTGCTTCCTCTACACCACCATACATGGAAGAAAGCAGGTATATATGAAGCAATCTTGGTTCTACTTACAACATCCACTTTCTTCTTCCTCAAATCCACTTTCTTCTTCCTCATCCTCTCTCTCGATTTGCAAATTTGAAATTCTGAATTTTTCTTTTTGGTACCAAAACGATGTCGTTTTGTCTAGGCATCATCTTAGCCATTGGATCTGTTAATGGGACATATGTCGCTCTATCAAAGATCACTCTAGAGGATCACTTCACAGGATCACTCTAGAGGATCCGGACGCATCCTTATTAGGGTACTTAACTTAAGCCGCCCTCTATACTCATGATTGTAATTGCACCTAGTTTAAGATTTGAGCAATGCTACATGCTTTAAAATTTGAGATCATCTAAATAAATATATTTTTTAATTTTTTATGAAAAGATATACAAAAAAATAGAGAGGTGATATAACTCAAATAAGTGTACTTATCTAAATAAATGAACTCATATAGGTTATGTCAAATACCATGTTTAATAGTAAAATTTTTATTTTTTAGCAACCAATCATATTTAATCACTCATACTTTTAATAAGATTTATTTAGTTGCTTGTAATTTTAACAAAATTTTTAATAAGATATTAGTATCTATAAAATTATTATTAAAGTTTTTATAATAACTTCGGAGTATTTAAAAGTTTTTATAATAACTTCAGAGTATTTAACATGATTTGATAGGAAAATGATTCACAAAAAAGAAAACAAACAAAGAGAGGAAAAAAAAAAATCACTTTTCCTTCTTGTAGTTTAGGTGATTTGCACTTCACTTCCTTTAGTTCAATAATAGGGCATAGAATTCCTGTGTCATTTTGGTCTAAAATGCAATGTTAACATTGTTGATGACAAACATTTAATGACCAAACTATTCTTATGATTCTCTATACTCTTATCTATTGTCACTGCTTTATCAATACTTCTTTACTAAATTTTCACTTAATTTTAAACTTAGGCCTCGTTTGACAACAAGTTAATTTAGTAACTTTTTAGTTATTTGGCTAAAATATGAGCTAAAAAAAACTCGTATGTTTGGGATGACTTTTTGACTTTTTACGAAACGATGTGCAAAAAGTAGAGAGAAAAAAAATTTTTGGTATGGGTTGTTGGCTTTTGCCTATTTTAATAACTTTTTAGCTTTTTGGCTAAACCAGCCTGTTGCCAAACGAGGCCTTAATAAATATTAGCTTAATTAACTTAAATTTAAGTCAAATACTAAATTAATTTGTTATTTAATTTTTATAATAATGTGTAGAATTAACCTGATTTTTAGTTGTGTATAAATATATTTATAATAATATGTATAATTAGTTTTAGTTAAAATTTTGGATGAAAAAGATAAAGAAAATATACTTACAACGAAACTCATACCCATATTTTTGATAAAAAAAAATTAAAAAAAAATTAATTCTTAGTATTGAATTAAGTTAGGGCAAAT